GCATTGAAAAGAATCTCAGGAACTTTTCATTATGTCTCTTGAATATTTAAGTTTCAAGCTATGCTAATCAGTCAAGCTGGAAATATTGTTATAGTCTTGGTACCAATGGAGTCTGTTTTGCATCAGTTCACTAAAAGCTTTCCTCCTGCTCTCCTAAAGCCTGGATTCTTCAGTGCTTTGGACAGAAAACTTCACTGAGCTGTAAAACAAATTGTAACTACATGGCAAAAACTTTTAATTGAGAGCCTGTTTCCTCTTGTTAGAATGAGTAAGTGTCTTTCAGGGCTTTCTTCCTCCACTTGATTTTGGTTTTGCTTGTGAATTTTTCAAGTGAGCTGTCACATTTCTAATTATAAAACATTCTGAACTTGCAGCAAAGATTGGGTTATTCTTTTTTTCCCCCTTTTTTTTACATCTACCTTTCCTAGGTCAATGATACCTGGGGGAGAGGCGGGGGGGCAAGAAAAAAGGCAATCTCTTCTTTGCACCTAATTGAATCAGTAAATGCAGTATGACACTGCAAGGGCATAGAAATCTCTCAGTTATGAACTGCTAACTCTCTGAAAGGCACAAAAATGCGTTTCCATGTTCTGTCGATGTGAGGGTGGTGAGGCAGTGGAACAGGTTGTCCACAGAAACTGTGGATGTCTCATCTCTGGAAGCATTCAAGGCCAGGTTGAGTCAGTCTCTGAGCAACCGGGTCTAGTCGAAAGTGTTCCTACCCATGGCAGGGAAGCTGGAACCAAATGATTCTTCACATCCCTCCCAACCCAAACCATTCTATGAAATCTGTGACCTCCTGTTCCAAATATTACTAGAGGCTAAATATATTTTTGAGGATTTTACTTCAAGTTGACCTGATTTTCACATTTCCCAAATTCTAAAGTTGTCTAAGCACTTATACAGCAATGTATCCCTTCTCCAGTTGCCTGATGGTGTGTATTAACTTTTCCTTTAATTACTTTAAATATTCCTCAGGCTGGCTAAGGTTGTCCCGAAAGGCTTGTTTTCATGAGAAAATAATTGGATGCTCTTTTCTTCTGGACCTCTTTGATAGGATTCACTGATGCCAATTCTTCAGTACTCCCTTTTGGCCTGAAAGCACTTGAAATAAGCCAAATGGTGGGTTTCTAATTAAAAATACAATAGTTAAAAATAAAAACTTTCTGATCTCTAGAAACAAGTGGGCATTATATTGACAGTCTCTCTGGCAAAGTTGAGAAATTGAATGGCAAGTATAAATGAACACAGTGAGCATTAAAAACCTTTATCACACTTGAGATTATTCCAGCAGCAAACAATCCTTATCAGACCAGACACTAGTCATGACAGCAAGTTCTGCAAATTGTGAATACTCTTCAAAGTTGCAGCATTCAAAAATGCCTGGCCCAAAATATATTCTTGAAGTCTTAATATGGCTTAAAATATCTGAAACTAACCACGTTACTTTGCTTTTATGTTATCCAATCAAGTCATGAGTAGTGTAATCATTATTCCAGACAAGGCTGTAGAGATTGCTAAGACATGAAATCTTGGCTGGTTGTTCTACAAGGCATTCTCAATAAGAGGTACTATCTCCTTCATTTATTTACTTATTTCTGTTTTTCAGAAGAATGCATTTCTAAGTAATTCTAAAAACTTATACTATTCCTTTTATAATACAGGATATCACAGATCTGAGACTAGAGTAGAAAAATAGTTATTAATGATTTGGAGAAAAAAATGGTGGTTTAATTATTTTTTTAAAGGATATTTCCCTCCTGCCTTTCAGTGCTGTAGGGACTTAGTGATTATAAGTGTTCTAGCTCTTGAAGTATTCATGCACAGCCAGTAGAAAACAATCAGCTTAGTTTTCATTTAGTTACATAAATTTAATTGAACGATCATTTATAAAATGTACAATTCAAAGCTCAAGCTTTCTCCGAGTTGTTTTTAAATCAATTTCCCCTGCAAATTCTTCCAGAGAAAACCAGATCTTAATTTGGACTAGTGTTGCTTTGCACTGTTTCAATGAGAGGTATCAGGTGTTTCTGGGAGCACTTGGCCCTCCTACATGAGCCAAGGACTCCACCAGTGCCTGGAACCACACCACTCGATCTCCTTGCTCCTGGCTACCAGTAGGAGACATTATTCTGGAAGAAGTAATGTATATCTGAGGAATTCAGATGGTTTTTTGGTTTAGTTTACTCTGGAGATTTTCCTGGCTCATTCCAAAAATGAGAAAATGCAAAAGTATCTGTGTGAATCCATTTCAGCTGCACCAAGGCACCCATTGCCAGATGTGGCTTTGTCTTCTGTGTGACCCCCAATTCCTCTTGTTCACTGACTAGCAAGATGTTCCCCTAAAATTCAGCCATTTTTAGCAGCTCAGCTGTGTAAGGTTGCTTGGAAACCAGCCTTCTTATCCCCCACATTCTCGTGACAGATTTCCTATGCAATAACATCACTGCATGACACATTTGTATCCAGACACACATTCTTTTTCCACTTGAGATTCTCTGAGTAAAGGTTGTTGATGCTTCACACAATTCGTAAACAGCATGTGGCAAATCACTGGAGTATTAAATCACTGCCACAGTCAAAATGAGCTCAAGTTTTGAATGTGAGCAGTTCCTCACTACTGAATTTAGTTATTGATCTTTCCTTCCTGAGAATAATTCCTCATTTTGTTTTTCAGACCAGACAGCTAGGTGGTATTATGACTTCATGGTAATCTCCATTCCCTTTTTTGCTTCTGTATGTAATACTTGTTTCCATAATTTCAAATTGGTTGCAATTGCTTTCTCCTTTATATTTTCTTTATATTTCTACAAGGCATTTCATATAAACTATGTGTATATTTATTTATTAGTAATAGAAATCTTTATTTTAAAAAATGTTACAAAAAAGTATCAAGATACCAACTTGCAGTTGAAGTGAATTGGTGTCAGCCACTTTATACAGCTGGACTGATGGGGTTTTAGTACTGTTTTAGCTTCATTTCTCCTTCTTTATTAACAATATTGCACTCTTGCCAAAATGGCGATGGTTAGTTTAGCAAAATAATGAGAAAAGCAAACTGCCACATCTGGCAGAAGGAATACTTGCCAATGACAAAAACAATAAGGTCCCATCATAGTCTTATTCAATCTCATGTGAGAATCACATTCATTCAAAACTGCAGTGCTTTTATGGATGGTGTAATGTATCATCAATGAACTATATAGTTTGAAATTATTATGATATGAGTATAATTTTCATTTTATTTTATTTTGTAACTATAAAACTTGTGGCTATTATGTAAACATTATGAACCAAGAGTATAATTTCTTTAGTATGTACTCTTCCAAAAGAACCTATTTTAAATGTGATTAAAATGCAAAATTTAATATCAAAATAGCCAAACATAATATAGATATAGATTCTGCTTTATAGACCTAATCCCCTAAAAAATAAAGTACAGTACAAACAAAGATAATGGGAAATTTAGAAGTTTCCTGGGCAGAGAATGTTTTAAGAAGGGTTTATGAAAGAATGGGATTTAAAAGGGGATGTGGAGACAGAGGAAAGCCGCCTCCTTGAAAAACAGCCAAGCTGAAATAACTGAGCCAAAAAAAAACAGTAAAGGGATCTAAAAATTAAAATAAATGAATGGAGCTAGAACGTATAACATTTTGCAGGTGAGGATAAAGTGTTGCCTTGAATACTGTGAAAGAAAACCAATGAATGATTCAATCATAATGAAAATTCAGTTTTGTTGGCCCTCATTTTGTCACTAGCTTTGAAATGTCACAAGAAAAGATATCTTCTGCAAGTAATGAGAAAAGAGGTGAGAACATTTGCAACTGCATTTTGTTGAATGACAACAGAAACACAAATTAGCATTCTGTGCCAAGCTGCTTACAAATCTAGAGACATGTTTGTGGTACTCATGAAGAAAATACAAGCAGAGTCATGCAAAAGTGGAAGACAGGAAGCAAAACATACAAAACCACCACCCTTAAGGAGGGTGGTGTGACAGACATATGGCTTTAATTTTATTTTATACTTTTTAATTCTAACTCATTCTTTTAATGCTTATCCACAGCACAGTAACAAGGCACAACCCTTATCCTTAGCACAGCATCCAAGCCTCAGGAACCTCCCATGCTTCAGTTTGTGCCCATTGCCTCTTGTCCAGTCACTGGGCACCAGAAAATGCCTGGATCCATTTGCTCTGCATCCTCCCTTCAGAATTCTGTACACTTTGATGAGTTGCCCCTGAGCTGTCTCTTTTCCCCACTGAACACTCAGGTCTCTCAGCCTTTCCTTGTAAGAGAGATGACCCAGTCCCTTAATTATCTTAGTGGTCCTTTGCTGGATTTTTTAAAGTATCTCCATATGATGTATTATTAAATCCAGAACTGGACAGTAATCCAGATGTGACCTTACCAGTGTGGATATGAAAGGGGAAAGATATATATAAACTTTTTTATAATTTCTCTCTCTGGCATTCTTCCTATATACAAGGAGAACTCTTAGCACCATTTAGTTTTTAGATGTGGATTGAACAGGATCAGTAGAAAGGCTGGTTTCAACATACTGTAAGGCTTTGTTGTTTTTTATTCTTAAAAACATTTTTTCATAGGGAGAACATTTGATTTGGCTGTAGTTATATTTCACACTTCTTATAATATCATACTGCTCTTTTGAAAAGTTTTGCTTCTTCTTAAATATACAGCAGACTTACAGTGCATTTTAGCAATTCTATTTGTCACATTTGCCAACGTTTTTAAATTTATGGAGAAAACTCAGCAACACACAGTAATGGAAGATACAGGCTCTTAATATTACAATAATATTAATTCTTTTTTCCTAAACAGCTTATGTTATGTTACTTCTGTTATGTTACTTATATTGCACTTAAGAATCCATTTGCCCTATCCTTAAAGTGCTATCACCTTGTTTAGACAAATTTTATAGCACAGTATATATAAACTAGAAAACTGTCTAGAGAGAAGCCATATACACAGAAAAATTACCTGGTCTTCAAAGTCAAATTCTGTATAAACAGCATCTCCGGAATCCATAATCAGACTGCAATCAAGTTCGTTTGACCCTAAAATAGGAAAGAAAATTAGAATTCAGAAATGGATTAAAAACTTTCACTTTATTTTATAATTTTATATTTTATACTATTTCCAATTGTCTGTATCTGTGCAAAAACTGTGATCCAAGGAACCAACCATTCAGGTTTGCTGGAGCACCCAGGTGAATGGTATTTCATTAGCAAAGCCTTTAAAACTTCCATAAAAGCTACTGCAGGTCTTAATAAGGAAGGGCTGTGCTAAATGGTAAATTGTTTTGGCTTGATTGCATATTTATTAGGCAGGGTGTTCTGCATGCCATGACTTGCAATTTTAAATTTCCACACTCAAGGGAGAATACAAACCAGTTTAAGAAAGAGAAAGGAAATACTAATTTCTGATTAGCAGGTAAGGGTCCTTGAGTGGTGTTGATAGGGCACCAAAGCAGCAGCATGCTTCCAGCAGCAATTGTCTCCATTTCCATCCTCTTCTACCCCTTCCCAAGGAGACTGTGAGGCTCTGCCCCTTCTCCTTGTCATCTTCCTGTGGCAGGACCAGGAAGAATGCAGTCTCTTGCCCTTGGGATGACAAAATCCAATTGCTGAGAAGCCTTGACCTGGCTGAGCTTTACAGTTTAGCTTCAGCTGAACTACTGAAGGTGCAGGACAACAGAAACTGAGCTTGATATTTCAAGAAGTCATGTAGGGAAGGAGTCATTGCTAAACCACAGTGGGAGGATAAACCACCAATAATGTTTCTACATAAACATAGGAAGGCTGTAATACAGTCATCATATACTGGCACTGTCACCCCATTCAGATTATGTCAATCCTGGGCAATAAAGAAGGAAATTGTCTCCTAGGTCCTCCAGATGGTGCAGTCCTAAACCAAATACTGTCAATAAGCATGAGACTATAGAAGTCACTCTCACAGCATTAGTAAAATGAGAGTAACAAAAATATTGTAATGATACACAGAAACCTAAAAATCATAACCAGCTGGCCACAGATGAGTCCAACCACTCACTTCATGTGGGGAGCCACAGGTAACACCAGGGGAAGGGTAAGCTGTGTTTTGTTTCCTCATGTCCTCAGTGAAACAAGATCACTAATAAAGAAAACAACCCCCCCCTTCCTGGGTTACAGGTGTCTCTGCTATGATGTTCCTGCAAGCACTGGCTCTGGGGGTACATAGTTTTAAGCCTATTGCTGACCTGGAGTTGTTTTCTCACCATTAGAGTTGTTTGTATGGGTGGCTTGCTGTAACAAGCACTATCAATAACAGATTTTGCAGTTCAGTTTGTGCCAGATGCATTTATATATTATCTGTGTTTGTTTGCTTTTGAAGTTTACACAGTAATAATCTATGTGGGTGGTGAAGTAAATGTCCCTGACAGAGAGAATAGAGGAGAGGAGCTGGATGTCATGATGACCAAAAACTGTATCTGCATGGTACAAATGATGATTCCAGGGTGTCATAGTTCGCAATCCATATCACAATTACTGCCAAATTAACCTTCAATTTAACTTTCTGGACTACATAAGAGATACCAGGGAAAGACCTGCATCTACCATCTGATGATGATTTTGTCTTGATTCCTCACTCCCCTGCCCCCATCCCCAGTGCTCATATATAGTTTTTCAGATTGCTACAGAGAAATTACAGAAAGGAGTTATACTCCTTGCAAGACAGTGTCACATGTACACACACAGCATGTTCTCTGGCATATATACTTTATGGTCTTTTGAAAATACCTTTCTCTAAAAGATATATGCAAGGAAATAGATTTCCAGCTGCTGAAAGAATCTTAATTTTTTGATTTATCTTATACAGCTGACATCTCACTCTTAACACCGTGTCATTGTTGATAATATAATTTAACTAAGTCTCAGTTGTCACTGGCACTGGCCTACTCTGACACATCAATCACTTCTAAAGGCACTTGTTGGCACTTTATTAAAGGCACTTGATTAACTGTCACTTAACTACCAAGAGCAGTACATATTCTTAGCTAGAAACATTAGTATGAAATATGGTGCTGCAAACTTAAATGTAAAGGTCAGGCTGAAAATGAATACTCATGCATAATGTATCTTAAGTGATAAAAGCCATAATGGTTATACAATTTTAATATTGTCAAGCATCTTAAAACCTTTTTTCCTTGAATTAGAATACTGGTGTCCTTGGAAAAGCATAGCTTCTTCCTAGGATATATTCAAGAAAAATTGAAATCAGTCTTTTCTTTCATGGTTTAATGAAAACTAACAAACCCCATAACCATCTATCACTGAACAATGCTCAGACTTCTTTACCCTTCTCAAATTGCCTAAAGACAAACCCATGAGAAATGAATTGAAGCAAACAGCTACTCCCAAGACAAGATAAAGTAATTAAGGGACATAGCAGAGTTCTTGCAATATCTCTGGTGCAGCATGTGCAGTTTGCTATGCTCCAGCTCAGTTTGTTGTTGGAGGGAGCATATTTTGCTAAGGCTGGACTAAATCTTCCTAAAACAGGTCTTGCAGGGGAGAACAATGAGCTCTTTAACTATGGCTTGTAGGCAGGCAGCAGAGGCACACCAGGGGGCCCCTTGGCAAGGCACCGGCACTTGGGAATCCTGCTCTAGGCAGATCTCCAGACAAGGCTAAAGCCAAAGGGAGAGCCTTGGAAAGTGCATAATTCAAAACTCAGCTCAAAACTCAGGTTTTCTAAATGAGAGTTTAAATTGGGAACATTTTATGTAAAACCTGTGCCAATGTTTATCTACCAAAGGTGAAATACACAATGTCGTCTTAAGGAAAAAAGAAGGACTGGTTAAAGTGTTTGGAAGCAAACATGCCCTGCTACTTTCAATGATGTGCAGGCTGCACATCTCATGTCTGACAATAAAACAGTTGATTATTAATAAGATTTATTTCCTTTTCTGAGCAAGTTGCATTGGTTTTCTTTTGCTAAGTTGGTACCATGAGAACTAGGCTATAAAAACAATTCATACTTGTCTATTAGGAGGAAAGGCTTACAGTTTGATTTGTCTTAATTCCTTCAGAAGGTTGTCCCATTCCACCAAATAATCTCTTGGCTTAAATAAGCTCTTGGTTAACTTGGAGCCTTCCTGTGCTTATATGAACCTTTAGGAAGTGATCTGAGTAACTTTATCAATTGCAAAGGGGGAAACTCAAGTTAAAAATTTATGAAAGCCCATGGAAGTTCTACTGCCATGGAGAAATAACTTGCCAGCACCTGATCTGAAAAGGTACCCTCAGGGCTTAAAATATATTTCCTTGATTGCATGACTAAACTTAAGGCAAGGGAGATCTGGTCACTTTCATGTGCCCTGCGTTTTCCTTAGAGGAAAAAAGAGAGGATTTTGTTAGGTGCAGTGCTGCACATTTAAAAAATAAAGCAGTTGAAAGTTTTTATTAAATCCCCATTAACTGAATCATCAGGTCTCTGGGGAGGAACAGGCTGAAATACAAAAAAGCAGACAGCTAGAATGCAATCCCTTTTTTTTGCCATGTTTTGTGTCTTGACACTGAAGGCATCTTTCATGAAAATTTGTCTTGTGAGGAATCCAAGAGGATCCAGTGACACAGCACAGTGGGACAAGGTTAATTAAAGGTGGCTGCAGTTGTACAAGGATGTGCTGACAGGTGCTACCCCTGCCAAGTCTGATAGTCAGGGACAGTGACAGCCCTGCACCAGAGGGGTGCATGGCTGTGCTCAGTCCCTTCCTTCACCATGAGGCTGTATTTTATGTTTTACGCTGTATTTTACATAATGTCTGTTGCTCCTAAGCTGAATTGCACAATATTGATCATGGAAAGCTGAGAGAGTGTGGCTGCCACAGGCAGGCGTGTAATTCCTCAAAGCCTAGGGGATCATGGCTGTAAAGTCTTTGGTCCTATAAAACATTTCAGTGTTTTAAGCCTGGGTTCATGGCCCTTTCTCTGAAAATGTGTTCATCCTTAAGTTGTCACGAATGCAAATGTCAAGCATTGCTTTTTCACAGTTCACTAAATTAATTTATACAATGAAAATAGACTGTACTGATCTGTCTAAATTTATCTGCAGTTGACTTCACTTCCCATCACAAGGTAGCTATGACCCATCATGCAAATTAATTAAGTCTGCTCCTTGGACCATTTGTGTTTAGCAAATCAGCTAATGATTTTCCAATCTTTGCTTAAATACATTACTTATTTTGAATCCTGCTAGCAATTCTATTCAATATGGTTCATTGGCTCAAATATGCCCATATTCATATTTTAACAATGATAGTATTCACACAGTTCAGCACTGACTGTCATAAAAGCAATCTCAGCCTATCCCCTGAAATATACTGCTTCTCCTAATAACATGTTTAAACTCAATAAAATAAAAATGCCTTTTTATGTTATGGAACATGCTCTGAAGCACCATCTAATAACTCAATTAATACATGTTGCATATAAGCATTTGGGCAAGACAAATGCTTAGAAGATAAATTTCAAGTGGACTATTATAGAAATAATTTGTTGAAGCACTCATTAGCATTAGAATGATTACATTTTAATTTTCCTCTCGGTAAGATGCTTCTAATACAAATTTTATTGCAACCTTACGCTGTTGAGTTTCATGACAGGTTGTTGCTCTTGGCAACGATCTTAATATGTTGTAGAAGGCAACAATGAGAACATTTTATTCTCATCTATAAACATTTTAGTTGTTTTCTTTTGGTACATATTGTTACAAAGTTGATTACAACTGAATTTTACAGGTATAACATGAATTAGATTGATGTGGAGGCATGAAAATACTAGAAATACTATGCTTATGTTAGCTACAAGGAACTACAGTATATTGCAATATAACTAATAAGATTAGGAGACAAGAAGTGAGGTCAAGACATGCTGGAATTGCAACCTCTAGAAATTAAACACCTGATCTCATAGAAACTCTCAGAGAACCCTCAAATCTTCTTATTATTATCAGTGCTCAAAGTAGGCATTAATTAGGTGAATGTGGCATGGCATCTGCTCATAGCTATCCAATTATTTTGGTGAGGGATTTATTAAATAGATCAGACTTTCGAGGAACTGACTGGAACTCATCAGGAATCACAAACAGTTAGTGCAAATTGCTTAGCTCTTGTCAAGCTGTTTGTCAGAGCTTGCACCTTTATGACACTTCTTTCCTCTTCCTCCTGTCCAGAATTTAAATCAGTTAGGGAGTACAGAGGCAATTATCAACACAATGTTATACACTGGGAATGCCATTTTAGGTTTGGGATCAACCTCTTGCCTCTATGAATAAGGCTAAGCACAAAACAAATGTGTGCCACCTAAGAGAGAAAGAAAGTCATCTTTATTCCTGTGCCTCCTATCTCAAGGGTGACCTCTAGATTCCTGTGGGCTTTTTAGCTGATGCACTTCTTGTAATTCTCATCATCCTCCCAACCCCAACTCCCCTTGCATTCACTGCCCTCACCCTCCCCACCTTGGTACTTCATCTTTATCTCATTTAGAACATTATCCAAATTTTCTTTTTCTGTGCTGGTTCAGAAGACATTTATGACATCATCTACATAGTAATCCTAGCAGTTGATTAGAAAAACAGCCAGGGATGCCATTGTAAAAGGAAGAAGTTGTGAAGTTACCAAGGAACATTCCTCTGCTGCCCTCAAGCAAAACATTTCTGACAGATGTTACGGATTTTCAGTGCTTTGATTTTTAGTTTCAATTCTTTTACAGTTCTTTGTCTCTCAAAGGCTTTACTTTGAAGATATTCAAGCTTCAGTAAGCATAAATAATAAATAAACAAATAAATCCCCAAACACTTGACTTACATTCACACAACAATTATTAGGGAGGAAGTATGATCATTAATCTCACAGGACTGATTTTCTGGTGAACACCAAGGTATCACTGAACTGAAACAGCTGACAACTGAAACTGAGAACTTACATGATTTTTGTATTAATAGTATAGCTTAGTGAACTTGCCACAGTATTTCAGTGTTAATTTGTAGATAAACAAGTTGTTGGATAAGCTATACGAAGATTCCAAATATAAAGAGATTTTTTTGTCCCCAGTTGTGCAAATGTTTGAGGTCAGTCAAGACTGCTACAGTATCTATATCCAAATTTGAAGAATATGAAAGAGGCATCCCAATGTCAAATGCAGTACAATGAATATGGCTCTTCAAATCTTATATTAACTCACCTGCTGCAATCTCTTTATTTGCAAACAGTTTATTGTCAACTGCTGAACTTATGTCAGAGAACACTTCATCCTCATCTCTGTCTGCATCAAACTAAAAAGAAAAAACAGAAAAAAGTTGGCAATCAGGCACTGCTTACTACTTGGCTGAACATCAATGTGTATTGTGACTTCTCACCCCAAGCCTTCCTGATAGGAACCTTTCTATTTTAAAGTGTGCAGTCCATTGCTTTAGCTATGAATAATTTAAATTTTGACTTTAATTTTGTAAAGTTTTTTCTAGGCTCTGTCTGACAGGTTTCTTTTTATGGCCAGGTGACTGTGGCAGGGGGAAGTTCTGCTACAGTAACATGCTTGACAGTGGGTTTGTGATTTTCCTTATTTTATTTATCAAATTTTATTTATTTAGATCATGACATATTCACATAGATGAGCCTACTATAAATACCAATATATGGAGTTTTCTGACTGGTACTAGAAATGGAGTTTGAGAGTCTGACCTGAAGACCACTCAGAAGTTCATCCTGCAGCAGTCACTATCTGTCTGGGCAGACATTTATCTAATCTTGCAAAATTCTTCTCCATTTAGTGTTTGCCATAACTCAAAGCTTTTAAAAAAATCTAAAGCAGAAATTTGTTTGTGTTTACCTGTTAGAGGGATTACACTTTAACTTGTGTCAAAACCAAGGCTTGTAGAAGGATAGGTTTTAAATAAAGCTGGTTAAATAACATCTGTTAATAAAATAAAACTTTTGGGCAATTTATTATCAATATACAAGAAGTAGCTTTGGAATGTCCTTGTTGATAGGAAAAGAGTGCTCCTATTGTATGCCAGAGAAGACGTGTATCATCTTTGTGGGTATGTGTATGCATAAAACCCAGTAAATTGTAATCAGGTTGTGTCTGATTATTGTGTAGGTCACACCACACTTGAAGAGATGACAGACTTGCTTTCTCATTAATAGCATTCCTCTGAATAATCTAGTTCACCACAAGAAAACACTTGATCAATCTCAAAATGTTCTAAAGGTTCCAAGAATTTGAAACACCAACTTTCCTATTCAAAGAACACCAGCTGTGCTTCAGCATTCTGAAAAGTCTGGGCTTTGTAATGAAAGCTTATATTGTCACCCAAAGAAAACCAATTATTTGAAGCTTGCACATAGATTCAGTATTCCCCTCACAAAATGAGAATTGTAATACCCTGAGCCACAGGAAGGCAAGGTTGCTTCCATGGAAAAATTATTTTTGAAAGAAACTAAGTAACCTTGTGAATTCTGTACTTCACTGAAATGCTAAATATTTTAAAATTAAATCCTTTGGTAGTTAGTGGAGGCTTGAATAAAAGATAAACAGTACTCAAACAATCCTAGTCACGCAGAAAAAACAGCAGTAAAACTTGTATTTTTAGCAGAACCTGTCTAAATCCATAGGTTGCTTTCCTTACTGAAAACAAATCCCTACTGGCTTCAATACATAGCTATTTGCAACTACGTCACCTAGAGGTATTTTAATGGATGTCTCAGTTTAATTATAGTCAAGGCTTATGTTTTATAGAAGGGTAACTTTATTAAACATTAACTGTATTGTTGTCTGCATTGATATATTCTTTACCAGTGATGCAGGAAGAAGCAAAGTATTTTTTCCCTGTGTGGCCAAAGGGGTTTGAGGTCTGGCCTTATTTTATGGCATGTCCCTCCATGGGGCACAATTGGTGTTTTTGTTCTATGCTGTCTCTGTTTTGTTGGGGCAGGAAAAGATTAGGGAGGACCTCAGTGGATAAGAGCATCCCATTTCTTTAGGAAACCAATCTAAATCTCTGAAAGGTTTCACAAACCTTCCTAAAGTATATTGGGGGGTTGTACTTGGTTTTATTTTTTTAAATAAACTATGACTGGCTTAATGATGAATTATCTGGAAAATTTATCTCATTTTCACATGAGCATTGTTGAATTGCAGAGCCTGTCATTGGCATGGAGTTAAATAAAAATGATGAAAAATATTTTCTAGATCTTCTGTATTGTAAATAATCGCCCTAGGAAATGCAGGTGGTTGTTGCTGCTGGCAGAGAGAAAATTATTGTTTCTAAATAAGCACCAAACAAATCCCAGCCAACAGAAGGAGCTCCACAGAAAAATTATCTATGTATTGAAAGTTGCAAATCTCACTGGTCCATGATGATAAATGGAGGTTTGGTAGTACCATGTATTGAGTTAAAGAAAGAAGAGCAGAATTTTCTCCTCACAACTGTCAGGGGGCAAACATCAAAGAAGCCGCAGTTAATTAGAATTTTGGCTGAAGGTGTCATTCAGTCTGGCACTGCCCCTTAGGGACTGTTTCACCTCCAATGAAACTGCTGGTTTTTGCAGGTGGTTTATCTAAAACATTCCCAAAATAGGGGGAGATGCTACTAGCCTTTCAAAGTGGAGTACAGGAAAGCTAGTAAGAAATCTGATTGCAGCAGACTTGCTGGGGAGTTCTTGTTTGTGCAGCATGAAATAAAGTTAGAAATTGAGAAAGCATTAAAAAACCCACAAGCAAACTTGTAGTTAAATAACATTTACAACAGTAGATTAAAATGTCCTCTACTTTAGGACATGGTAGATGTCAATTAAAAGAAAATAAGCCATGTCCAAATTAAACATAACATAATATTGTAGTGTTTGGCACAGGGGTGAAAGCTCCTGGATGCTCAAGGCAGTTCCAGTAGCCACAGCTGATCAACTGGAGGGGCTTCAGACAGGCTATAACAATGATCTTTTTCCTGTACCTTTCCATGGGAAAGAAAAAATTTAGAAGTTATTACATCCAGAAGACAAAATTGTAGGATGCAATAATGAAGAGCAAGTGAGACAAATTCAGAATGGAAGCAAACAGCAAAACTTTTATTGACGTCACTGTCTTTGGTGATGTCTTTAGATTCCCCATTATTTGAAAATTTTAGATTATTCCTTAAAAGAAAAATATTAATAAAATTAAAATAGTATCTAATTCAGGAAGTCTGCAGTATTGCTCTATGTAGCCAGAGCTGTCACTTTGGGCTTCATAATCCATAAACCAGATCCATGGAAGTGAAACAAAATTGTTGTTTAGAAAGTGGAAAAATTACCCATACATTATCACCTGCAGTGAGGATCAATTTTTTCTTAAATAAAAAACAAAGGTTAATCTGCAAAAAAGAGAACATGGCTTCTTGTACCATGGTTTTCCCACACTTTTAAGAGATATCTAGTGTAGAAGCCAGATTGCACCACTGTCCCTGAAGTGTTGGTATTTTTGGTTGAAAAGTTGGCAATCCTAGTAAAATAAGGAGAGTCATAAGACTGAGCAAGTCATAATGATTTTCAGCAGCTACAAATGTGATGAGAACACACTGTTATTATTCATCCTGATTTAGGCAGGGATTTGCTCCTGAAGGATTGAAAATAAATAAGAACTGGTTCTATTTTACCCTTGGTAATACTAAAAGGTGAAGTGAGACACACTGTTGAGGCATAGGTGCTGCTTTACCGTTTTTGGACACCCACACAGAAATTCCTTCATTATTGTTGATCCATCCCTAGTTTGCTTCTCTTAATAATGACAATTGACTTGTGCAGTTAATTCTACAGAGAGTGGAAAAATCAAAAGAAAAACACCAGCAACATGGGAAGACAGCAAATATGTGAAGAAAAATATATAAGGTAGTATAATGGGATGGGGGGTGAGAAAATTAGTTGAAGACTTGTTCAGGAAAACCAATAAGCAGAGGCACTGAAATGAAGCTGGAATGTGCAGACTGGGAGTTCAGGGAACTATTATAATAGTAATAATAGTATAATATAATATATTATATAATAAATAGTATAATATAATACTATTATAAAGTATTTTTAGTGACCCACTTAAACAAAACCAAAAAACTTTCAAAACACCACAAAACAGCAGGATGAGGACATAGGGGAGAGATATTTCACTCTAATCCATCCTCTATTTCTAATATTTTCATTCTTTTCCATCAAATACTCCGAAATCTCAGATTCATTTTTATATTATATTTTACCACATACACAAAAAAACCTACAACTGAAATTACACTAGAGCTCACCAATTATTTTTAAACATTATGCAATTAGCAGAGGTCACAAATTGGTATCAGACAGAAATTTAGAACAAAACTGAACTGGAGATATTAACACCATTATTACAATCCTAAGGAAATGTGCTGGGTTATCTAAAATAAGCCTCTTAGCGCCTTATTTTTTTTTTACTGCAGGAGTTCCAAAGAGGATTCATAAATAATTGTAGAGTCCTCCTACGTGTATCATTAGTTTCTCAAGTTTCACTTGTACCTAAGGATCTATTGCTGTCAGGGCTACTTGTAAACAAGCATGGGGGTAAATGTTCTCCAGCTCTGAGTGGAGCTGACAGTTCTGCATCAACTGCTGGTAGCTTTTCTGTATCCCAAACTCATTTACTCAAAATAGTTGCAATTCAAAGCCACTAATTTTTTATTTGGTTCTATTTTTCTATTCACAGACCCCTTTGTATTAATTTGGCAGTCCATAAACAATGAAATTACTACAAAACACAGGCTTGTGGTTTTTTGTGGTTTTTTTTGTGGTTTTTTTTTAATGGTTTTGTTTTATTTTGTTTTGTTTGTTCTTAAAGTGATTTTCTCTTATTTCATGCTAAACTCAACAACACAGTGCCACAGCACACAAGTGCGGAGGTGCTGTGGCAGTTTCCCTCCCCTCACAGTAAAACTGCTAAGCCAGCTTCCATACCTTGGAATACTGAACAGAGCAACAGCAAGGAAATGGTAACTCTCACCTGAAGAAACAACAGTGGCAGAAGTAATAGCCTGTCTTTGTACATTTATGTGAAGTAATAGCTTTTGATAGGTAGACAGAGGGAGAACTTCTGTCTTTATGCTGTGATCATTTGAGCAACACCCTGACTTACAGCAGTTTTCAGCTGATAATAATGAGCGCCTCGGGCAATGTGGTGGCAAGAGATGATGGGAAAGACAAGGTGCAATTACAGGCCCTTGTAGAGCAGAAAGCAGACAAACTGAAGGAGAGTTGGATGTGACTGGGGATGAGGGGAGAAATC